CCAGCCACCCCAGTGCCCAGCCCTGCCTCTGCTCTGATATCCCACAGCCCGCTCCTCTGCCAGAGAACCCAGGTATCCGGGCTGCCCCCGCCCCTAACCCCCATCCCCACTGCCCTCCTGCCGATGTAGAGAACCCAGCCCACCCCACCAGACTCCCAGCCCCCCAGAAAACCCAGGTGTCTGGGCCTCCCCCCCCAGAACTGGAGAGAACCCAGGCAGCCGAGCCCGTGGAAGTTGAGGGTCAAGGGAACAGAGGCAGCTGGTGGGGTCCCCCCCCAACCAACCACAGGGCAGGGTCACGACACCCAAGTCCCACGGCCAGACCCTGTCAGGGCAGTGTTGAGAGGTGGGGGAAGGCAGGGGTGTGTCCTGGACACCTGGGCTCTTTCTGCATGGGTGTGTCCTAAGGACACCCAGGGGTGTGTGTGTGAGTGAGCAAGTGTGAGTATGTATCCATGTCCATCCTGGCCGCCCAGATTATGGGTGTGGGCATCTCGGATGCCTGGGTTCTGCATGGGGATGTGTAGCTGTCCTGAGGAGACCCAGGGTGGGTGGGTGTGTGTGTGTGTGTGTGTCCATCCAGGACACATGGATGGATGTGTGTGTGCGTGTGTCAGCAGGGGGCAGCACCCACCTGTGACAACACGCATGAACACCCCTCAATATCACCCTCCCCCCACAAATGGAGACCCAGGCCCACTCCAATGCCTGCACAGCCCCCCCTGCATATGCCTCTACCCACTGTGTCACGCCTGCACATGTCAAGGATGAGGCCTGGTTTGTCAAAAGGGTCTTTATTCCAGCGCCGGGGCCGGCGGCTCCCGCCTTAAATAAAAAAGTGCATAGAAAAGAAACCGGCTTAGAAACGTCTGTACATATCTACACATTGGGGGAGGGGCTTCCCTCCCCACTCCAGGCCCCCCAGTCAGGGGAGGGGGCATAGGGGTCACGCTCAGGCCCCCATGTCTCTGCTGGGGACCCCCCCTCTAGAGCAGCACCCCCCCATCCTGGGGTGGGGGGGTCTGGAGATGAGACCCCCCCTCCCCATCCTGCCATGGCCAAAGGGTGGGGGGGCACAGCAGCAGGGCAGGGGCAGTGGGCTCCCCCCCAACCCTGGGCTGGGAGCAGCAGGGCAGGGGCCCCTGAGGTTTTGGGGGGGTCCCCTGTGGTTGGAGGGGGCAGTGGGGGTCCCTGAGGGGGGTCCCTGGTGAGGGAATGGGATGGGGGGGGAAGGGCTCCAAATCAGGGCAGCAGAGGGTTGGGGGTCCCTGAGGGGGTTCGGTGGGGGTCCGTGAGGGGGTTCCAGGTTGGGGGGGAGGTAGTGAGGGTCCCCAAGTGTAACAGCCTGGGGGGGCCCAGACAAGGGGCAGGGGGCTAGGTAATGCCAGGAGGTCACTGGGGAAACGGGTTCAAAGTCAGGGTTAGGGGTCATGGGGGGGGGCGCGGCAAGTCAGACTGAGATGGGGGGGTCTCTAGGGCAGCACCAGGGGTCCCCAAGGGGGGGGTCCAGATCAAGTTAGGGGTCCCCAAATGGGGGGGGTCGTCAGGCTGGGGGTCACTTCAGGTGAGTCCAAGTCAGGCTGGAAGGGGGGCAGGGCAGCTCAGGCCCCCTGGGGGGTCTAGGTCAGGGTAGGGGTCTCCAAAGGGGGTCCCAGACCAGGGTGGGAGTTGCAGGGTGACTTCAAGTGAGGTTGGGGAGGGGGCTCTGGACAGCGCCATTAGGCATCCATTTTGGGGCGGGGGTACCCCTGGGGGGTCCTCGGGTGGTTCCAAGTCAGGCTGGAGGGGGTACATCTCCAGGGCAGCACCAGGAGTCCCCGAGGGGGGTTTCCAGATCAGGGTAGGGGTCCGCAAGTCCAGGTTTGGAGGGTTGGAAATCCTGGGGGAGTTTCCCCAGGGTGGGTCCAAGTCAGTCTGGGATAGAGGAGGGGAGGGAAATATCTGGGCAGCACCAGGGGTCCCCGAGGGGGTTTCCAAGTCTGATCCATGGGTGGGTGGGGGATCCCTGGGGCAGCGCTGAGGGGTCTCTTAGGGACTAGTTGAGGTAGCGGCGGCAGCGCTTGGCCCCGCAGTTGCAGGGCAGCTTGGAGCCGGCGTCCTCGATGGGGAACTTGTAGTCATAGGTGAGCTCCTCGCCACGCAGGATGCGGCGCAGGGCAAAGATGACTATGTGCTTCTGCCCCTCCACGTGGATGACGCGCGAGTAGCAGTTGGGCTCGCACGAGTGGTTGATGAAGCGCGCGGCATTGCCATGCATCGTAGCGTCCACCACGTCGAAGTCGTCCATGCGAAACATGTAGCACCCGATGCCCTGGAGGGAGGGAAAGCGGGGGGTCAAAGGGCATAGCCTGCCCCACCCCAGGACCTGGGGAGGGAAAGACACAGCCCAGCCACCTAGAGAGTAAGGGAGCCCCCCCCAGGCCTGGAGCCCCACCCCACCACAAGTGAATGGCACAGCCTGGTCGCCTACAGAAAATGAGACACCGCCTGACCCCAGGGGCTTCCAAGCCTGGGAACCCCTCCCGCTATAAAGTAATGGTATAGCCTGGGTCTCTACAGAGAAGCACCCCCCCAGGGGATCCTAGCTCTACAGACCACCCTCACTGCAAAGGAATGGTATAGCCCAGGCCCCTACAAAGGAGAATGCCCCCAAATGCAAAGGAATTAGCCCAGGCCCCTACAGAAAGGAATAGGAATGGTAGAGACTGCCCAAAACAGGCTCCTAACCCCCAGCGCACCAAGGGAATGGCATAGCCCACCCACAAAGGAGACGCCCCCCCCCACTGAAAGAGAATGGCACAGCCAAGGACCCCTGCCAGTGCCCCTGTGTGCTGGCCCCACCCCCACCTTGCTGTCGTAGAACTTCTCGCGCTTGTCTGTGAGCACGGAGCGGATGACGGTGCCCGAGTACTCAATCACCATCTCGCCTGCGTCGATGTTGCGCTTGCAGAACAGCCCCCGCCCATGGATGGCCGACCTGCCAGGGGGTGGGATCATGGGGATGACATGCCCTAAGCCCCACCCTCACCAATTGACCCTGATCCCACCCCTAAGCCCTGCCCCTCCAAAGCTCCGCCTCCAAACTGAAGACACACCCCTTTCTCATTACCTGGTCCACCCCTAAACCCTGCTCCCAGGCCTAAGCCCCACCCCTTTCATCCAGAACTGCCCCCAGCTCCACCCTTAAGCCCTGACACTTTCCCCAAAACCCACCCTGAAACCAGGCACAGCCCCGCCAGACCTAAGCCCCACCCCTAAGCCAGCACCTGCCCCCAGGCCTAAGCCCCTTCCCTGACCTAAAGCCCTCCCCAAATTCCAACCTAGACCCCACCCCTAACCTCCAACATCACCCCTAATCCAGGCCCTGCCCCAAGCCTAAGCCCCTCCCCCTGCCTAAACCCTGCCTTTTTCCCCAGCCTCATCCCTAAACCAGGCCCCAGCCCCAGACCTTGCACCTAACCCTGCCCCTTCCATCCTGACCAACCCTAAACCACACCCCCTCTCCCCAATCTTCACCTTAAGCCACACCCCTTCCCCCACTAGCAGTATCACCCCCTTCTATGGAGACCCTGCCCCCAAAGCTAAGCCCCACCCCCATG